TGGTGAGCGGCGACTGTGATGCGGCGGTAACGAGACAGTAGTGTTTACAGTCGCCTTGGATTCTCTGACCGGATCTGGCTTTATCCACCAATAACTGGGAAGCAGAAACGGTGAAGAAGTCTTGGGGAAAATGACAGTGACAGTGATAATGCTGATATGGTAAAGACGATTAGTAATAGTGGTGATGATGACGGTGACAACTGTGTTGATGATGGGAAGAAACAAGGTGAAGCAACGAATGGGACAACAAAGGCTCTGACACGCAGTGAGATACTAAGGAAAAAGACTGAAGAAACTCGAGGCTGTCTTCCGTGGATTCGTCTGAAGTTAATGATATCGTCAAATCAACGCTCATTTCTGCTCATTTTCTGTTTATGTTGAGTACTGTTGACTGCAGGACAGCTTCGACAGGATTAGAAATACGCGAAATGAAATAACTTCTGCTGCAGTGCGCGAAAAGCTGGCAAAAGTATTTAACAACAGGAAGTGCGGAAAAATTATGGCAACTGAATCCAGAAGAACCAGAGCAACTGTGAAGGAAGAAAAAGCGAATGTGATAAATGATGAAAACTGCGTAATGCTGCTTGAGAAACTCAGGAATGTGTTACTGCTTTCTCGTTATTCAATATGAACTTTCAGATGTGACTAAATAAATTTTTGCTTTTCAACGAGTTTCTCTGATTGCATGGCGCTGCTGTACAGAAAGAACAAGAATTTGGGCCAAAATTATTGCCACTGTTGCACCGGCTATTAGTATGGGCATCCGGTGGTTGGAGGTCTCAATGGGATGCTCTTCAAGCTCCAAGTGCAACAACGCCAGGCCCTTTGATCCTGAACTGCATACCTATAGCTAGGACCTGCCGCCTCTTTAGCGTATGGATGCCACATCTTCGATGACCGCCCGAGTGGTCGCTTAGTTCTTTGCGAGTGCCACTCACTGATAACGTGCGACTTCTATTGGTTGTCGGCAAAGCGAGCAACATTTCGTGCCTATCAGATTTTAATTTCTCATGTGGTCATATTTCCTTGCATGGCTACAAGGACACTCTCCTTTTCTCCATTCCTTTCATCACAGAAGACACTCACTCTTCAGCTTTCGCCAGCAAAATTTTAACGCATGCCCATTGGAAATACGATATTGGAAGCGTGCAGAGAAAATAAGACACAGTGACGGGGTCAGGCGGACTGATTGAATACTACATGTGGAAATGTTCTTGAAATTTGCTATCTAATGAATTTTTCTAATAGCTACAGCCCACAGCCAGTTCCTTCATATGTACAGCTAGCAAATTCTCAAATTGCTTTGAACACTTGATGGTCAGACGATGGCGATCCTGACGATTGTTCTGTCTCCTGAAGGAGCTTTTATCTCAACAGTTCATCACACAAAAGCGCTTAGCTAGGCTTTTGCCGAGATATTCTTTGTGTTGTGCATTACCATCTCATCTCAGACGCTGCCACAGTTAGGATTTCTTAACGTTTGGAAACAACGAGACGATATTCAAACATAAAAATAGTTCAAAAAGAGCAGTGTTTAAGAAATTGTTGGAAAATTTATGGTGCCATGGAGGATTGATCAGTGAAAACAGTTAAACAATATCATTTACATATTATGCATTGGCGCATAATATGTGTAAAATGGACGAAATTTGTTACCAATCAGATTTGTATAAACAACGGTTGTCGCACCTTTTTTTTCAGTGTAAAAATCAGGCAGCTATGAGCGGTTTGCTGCACTAACAGGGTGATAGGAAAGGTGTCGAAAGAAGCAGTGTCACTTGGTATGAAGCCAAAAGGAAGTAACCAAGGGCAAGGGAAATAAACTGACAATGTGAAGCAGGTGCTGGAGAAAGTACTGGATAATTGAGAGATTTGGATGGGCTCGTTGGCCTGTCCTAGTGAGTCCAGTGCTGGAGGGTCGAACAGGACAGGCGAGAATAGTGGATGAAAAAAAGAGAAAAATGCACTGTGCAAAGATCTCAAAGACCAAAAAAAGGAAAATGACGGAATTGAGCAACGAAGCTGATAACGACGATGACAGCGAAGCGGATAACGAGGACGATGATGAGATCAGGCTGGGATGAGAACGATAGGCAGATGATGATGATAACGAAGGATGTTGGCGGAAGACAATAATGATAATGAAGAACAGCAATGATGACAGAAACTGGATGAAATCGTATGCAAAGATGAAGCCGATAACAAAAAATCGTATGAAAGCGACAATGAAACTGATTATGATCAGGAGTTGAAGTAGCCAGTGTTAGGAATTCGACAAAATCGACTACGATCACGATATTTTGATACTTTGATCAACTGCAGCTTATAGTTTCGCTGCCAAGCCATGCATATGGCCAAGTTGCTTTAACTAGTGCTACACTGCCTAGTGG